TGATAATGGAGGACCCTTGTGTAGTAAGAAATACTCTTTCTGCCCATATAACAGAATGGTGATGAAGGATGTGGAAGACATGTTTAGAATCAGTGTAGATATTGACATGCAGTCTTTTTGCAAGTGTAAGAGCATGGGTTAAAGCAGTAAGCTCAGCTTGTTGAGAAGTGGTAGAAGGGGGATACATAGCAGCATCAATAATAGATGTGAGAGACACTATTGCATAACCTACTTTTGCTGGTGATGATTGATTGGGCTTTGAGGAGCTGCCATCAATAAACCAAGTGTGGTCTGGGTCTGGAATAGGAAAGAAAGAAATATGAGGAAATAGGGAGGATGCCATATGGATTAGGGAGATACAGTCATGGGGTTCAGGGTTTGTGTCAGGTATTAAGTGAGAGGCTGGGTTGAAGTCAGGTCCAAGAGCAGTGGTTACTATGGGGGTTTCAATAAAGGGTGCATCACGCTGGAGAAGGCGAGGGGCTGAAAGTAAGTGTGTGAGGTGTGAAGAGGAAATCTTGGGGAAGAATGGTCCAGGTTAACTGCTGGGACTGGTAGGAGTTCACGGCAAGGCTTCCAGGCATCTCAAAACCCCCTGAGTAAAGGCAAAGTCAGTCCAAGTAAAGGCAACAAGAGGCTAAGAGGAGGAGTGTAAGGGGTTAGTGAAAAAGGCGTCTTTCTGATCAAGAACAGAAGAGTGAGTTATGGGTATGGAAGATAGGAGGGTATAGGGTTTGGTACAACAGGACGGATGGGAGGTATAATCTGATTGTTGAGGCAAAGGTCTTGGACTAGCCTATAGGATTTGTCTGGTTTCTGGACAGGTAGAATAGGGGAGTTGTAAGGAGAATTTGTAGGCTTTAAAAGGCCATGTTGTAATAGGCGAGTGATAACAGGCTTTAGTCCCTTTGAAGCCTGTTGTGGGATGGGGTACTGGTGTTAAGCAGGATAAGAGTGATTGGGATGATGAGGGGTAAGTGACTTGTAGCAAGGGATGGGGAGGTGGTGTCCTGCACCCTAGGGTTAAGGTAGGCGGTATAAGGGGAGCTTTTGAGCGAGTTAAGGTTCGGGGAGGAGGTTGGCAATGAGGTATGGCTGTAGCCTAGGAATAGTTAAGGAAGCAGATAATTTTGCTAGGATATCTTGGCCTAACGGAAACTGGACAAGTGGGGATGATTAGGAAAGAATGTGGAAAGGAGCGTTGGTCCAATTGACACCAGACTTGGGGAGTTTTGAGAGGCCTGTAAGCCTTGCCATCAATTCCCACAACAGTTATGGAGGCCAAGGAGACAGGTCCTTGAAAAGAAGGCAGCGTGGAGTGGGGGGCCCCCGTATTGATTAAGAAGGGGATAGACTTATCCTCCACCATAAGAGTTACCCAAAGCTTGGTGTCTGTGATGGTCCAGGGGGCTTCCAAGGTGATCAGACAGCATTAGTCTTCAGCTGCCAAGCGAAGGAGATCTGGGAAGGATTTGATCTGGGAGCTGTGGGTTGTAGCTCCAGGAGCTCTGGGAGCAGCAACATGAGTCAGACAGCCCAACTTTTAGTGGGGACCCCACACAGACCAGGCAGGGCTTAGGAGGAATCTCAGGCTGTGGGCATTCCTTGGCCCAGTGGCCAGGTTTCCAACACTTGAAGCAAGGTTTGCGAGGGACAGATGCTGCAGTCTGGATGCTTTGAAGTCTTTACGAGCCAGTGGTATGACTGGGGTTTGTCTTACAGCAGAGGCAAGCATCTGTAGTTTTGAGATGCACCGCCAGGCAGCTTTTTCCCCATTGAACGCCTTGAAGGCAGGGTTAATTCTTGTTGTGGGGTTTGAGGGACAGATTCTAATTTCTGTGGTTTTTTTGTAATGTGAGGGGCTGATTGGGTGATAAAATACATATTAATCATTCTTCAGGGTTGGAGTAGAAGTAAGGATGACATTAAGTTACTCCAGGTGAGTTATAGGACTGGGTTAGATGTTGGAACTCTTGTATATATTTAGTAGGATCTAATAAAAAGAAGCCTAACCACTGGCCAATTTGGGAAGGGTCAGATAAAGAGAAAATAACATGCACCCTAACTATTCCTTCTCCTCCAGCCACCTCTCGAAGCGGGAATTGTTGGCAGGGGCAGTTAGGAGTTAGCCATGGGACCAAGCTGTAAGCCGGACTGGGTGTGCGGCAGGGAGGTGACAGGAGGGGCATAAAGAGGTGGGCTGTGGGCAGAGAAAGAGGAGGGAGTCTCGGGCGGTGGGGGTAAGGGCTGGATCGGAGTCTGGCTTGGACAGGAAGGGAGGAGAAAGAGCAGAAGGGTTGATGGGCAAGGAGGATTCTGGGTTGCTAGCAGAGGCAGGAGGAGCAGACTGAAGGGAGAGAAGGAAAATTTGGGATGGGTTGCATTGAGAGCAGGGATTAGGGAGAGATTGGAGTATAAAGAAATGCCTGCCCCAGGCGCGGTGGCTCACGCCTGTAATCCAGCACTTTGGGAGGCTGAGGCAGGTGGATCACCTGAGCTTAGGAGTTGGAGACAGGCCTAACCAACATGGAAAAACCCTGTCTCTACTAAAAATACAAAATTAGCTGGGCGTGGTGGTGCATGCCTGTAATCCCAGCTACTCGGAAGGCTGAGGTAGGAGAATGGCTTGAACCTGGGAGGCTGAGGTTGCAGTGAGCCAAGATCGTGGCACTGCACTCCAGCCTGGTGGCAGAGGGAAACTGTCTCCACAAAAAAAAAACAACAAAAAAAAAAAGGCCTGGACGTCGGGCACCTCAAACCATTTGCCCATTCGTTGACAAAAATTGTCTCGGTTTTACAGAATAGAAAATTTGAAAGTGCCGTTTTCTGGCCGTTTGGAACCGTTGTCTAATTTGTAGTGAGGCCAGACTGTATTACAGGAAAAATTAGATGTTTGGGTTCAGATCAGGCGACAGCTGAAGAGGTTTTAGGCTTTTTAGGATGCAGGCTAGAGGCGAAGACTGAGGAATATAGGGCAGTATATTGCCCGTAGCGAAGTTCTAAGGAAAGGAGTAGAGAAGAGGAGGAGAAGGAGCGAGCAGCTACCAGGGTCTTCAGTAGTCGGCCCTGACTGAATCCTGGGCTGTAGCATGCGTGAGTGATCAAGGCAGGCATCCCCAAGATTGACCAGACACCAAGGGAAGACTGTCTTCCCGAGTCCGTGACCAAGGTTGGAGTTTCTGAGCAAGAGGGAGAGATTTGTCTCTTCTGTCCCTACACGGATAGTGTCTCAAAGCTTTGTCTCTACTAGAAGGAGAAAGATTTAAAGGAAAAGAGAGAGGGAGAGACTTGTCTCCTTTTCTCTACCTAGAAGGAGAAGGATTTAAAGGAAAAGAGAGAGAAAGAGGGAGAGACTGCTTACCGGATCTGAAGGTGGTGAGAGAGCTATTCCGCATGGAGCTGCTGGGCTGAAATATTGAGGTCTCAGGTGAGTCTCATAGAGGGGGAGCAAGGACAGGGGGTCAGTCTCCCAGAGGATTACCCCTGTCACAGGTTTCGGCACCAAATGTTAAAAAGCATGCTCTGAATGAAGACACCTCACCCCCACCTCACCCCGCCCCCCGCCCCGCAAAACACGCTTTGTGTGAGCAACATGGCTGTTTATTCACCCCGGTGCAGGCAGGCTAAGTCCAAAAAGAGAGTCAGTGCAGGGCAGTGGGATAGGAGTTGGTTTTATAGGTTTGGGGTAGGCAGTGGAAAGTTACCGAAGTTACAGTTCAGGGTGGTTTTTGTAAGCTGAGATGGGGTTGTAGGGTCTGGAGTTACAAGGTTGACCAATGTTGGTTACAAAGTCCAGTTGCCTTACCAGTGGAGGTGGGAATAAGGAACAATAGAAGAATGTCTCAAAATTAATTAGGCACCACAGGGGTTGGACATTTCTTCTCCTTTTGTGGTTTTCCAGTTACTTCAGACTTTCTAGTTCCAGGAACTCATCTGGAGTGTACGTGCAGGTCACAGAGGTTACCATGGCACAGTCAGTCCTCCTAAAAGACCTTACAAACCCGTGTGGTTCTGGAGTTTTTTTGGTTGGTAGGCTATTAATTGCTGTCTCAATTTCAGACCTTGTTATTGGTCTATTCAGGGTTTCAACTTCTTCCTGGTTTAGTCTTGGGAGGGTGTAAGTGTCCAGGAATTTATCCATTTCTTCTAGATTTACTGGTTTATTTGCATAGAGGTATTTGTAGTATTCTCTGATGGAAGCCATCATTTTTCTATAGCTGCAGTTTAATTAACATGTAATATTTCCTCTGTTTTGAGAGACTTAAGTTTCTTGTGATCTGTACTCCCTTTACCTATACTGTCAGTGAGAACTATACACTATCACCACAAAAATGTGACACAACGAGGAATATACTGTCTTATTAATTGTTTTTAATGATTAATAGTGAGGTAAGTCTGTCCAGCAATACGTAGGATGTGAAATTATGATGCTTCTGTATAGTGGATTATGCAATATGAAAAAAATGGGGAGCTTTTCACATTCAGATATGGAAAGATCTCTAAGGTATATTGTTAACTGAAAAGAGAGAATGAAAAATAGGGGAGTGTATACAGACACAAATCTCTGAAGGCTATACAAGAAACTAGAAACAGTGCATACCTGTGGGGTGTGGGAGTCACTGGGCAGGTGAGGAATGAGGTTGGGGGGAGACTTTTCACTGTGTGTCTTTTTATACGTTTTTTATTTTTGAACCACGTGACCATTGGCCTAAGTACAGGTCAAAGAGAATAATAAAAATTACTGGAAATCTTAAGTCTTTCACCTTCCAATGCATATGTTATTGGCATTACATTGCTATGATTTTGATTTAATATATATCCGCAATAGTTATTTATTCTGAATTAGGAAGTCTATTATTTTAAATTATTAAACTGATCTAAAACAACTCTTAAAAGAATACTAGGTTATAAACAGTGGCAGAAAGGGAATTGCAGGATTGAGGAACATTCAGAATGTGGGCCTGGCTATCCCTCACTTGTTTCTTGTCTCTTTCTTTCAGATGGTTCCTTCATCAGCTTCAGGCCAAGTTCGAGGTTACTATGTAGACTGGAGAATGTGGCGTGATGTGAAGAGACGAAAAATGGCCTATGAATACGCAGATGAGAGGCTACGTGTTAATTCACTCAGGAAGAATACCATTTTGCCAAAACTTCTACAGGTTGGCGAATTAAGATGAGTCTCTTTCTACCACAAGATCATTAACTCACGTCAGATCATTTTTGATATTGTTTGTTATGATTCGGTATCTGTATAATTTCTGGAGAATAAGATCCAAGTCATTATAAACAAATAGCCTTGAAACTGATTTTGGTGAGTTTCAAATTAAAGACTGTTCACTCCCAGCTAGCCTTTCAACCATTTCATTATGCCGGCCTTAGAAAGTACTGGTGAATTGGGTGGCTTTTTTCACCTATGGTCTCTCCCTGAAATCATCCTAGTCTTAACTGGCAAGGCATTGGGAGGCATTGCTGATGTTGCAGGCTGTGTGCTTAGCATGTGGCCTAAACTGTTCCTTACCCAGGACCATCCTGAGCTTGTCTTCCTGAACTCCCTTGCGCACCTCTGTGTGCTGAAGTGCCTTTCCATTTAGGCCTACTTTCTTGTCACACTGCTTGGGTTGAGTAAGAGGATATCAACCCTGCTTTGCTTTCTGAAGCATAAGGCCCTGCACCTAAGTGGTGATGTAGAATATCTGTCCAAGAGGCTTGTCAGGGAGATATAAATTAAACTCAAGGCCACCCAACTGATTGAGAGCTCAGATTTTTTTAAATTACATTTAGAGAAGTGGGCAGAATGATAAATATCCTATTTATTATGATGGATTCTTTTTAGTCTTGTCTGGATTAAGCCAGATGAGCAGAAAACTGAAGGTTTTGGACCACTGGGTTATGGCTTACACTAAAATGGCATTAAGCTACTTTCCTACATTTAGGGAGTAATAAGAAATGGCAGGCCGGGCGTGGTGGCTCATGCCTGTAATCCTAGCATTTTGGGAGGCCGAGGCAGGCAGATCACCTGAGGTCAGGAGTAAAACTTAGCTGGGCGCAGTGGCACACGCCTGTAATCGCAGCTACTTGGGAGGCTGAGGCAGGAGAATCACTTGAACTTGGGAGGCGGAGGTTGCAGTGAGCCGAGATCATGCCACTAAACTCCAGCCTAGATGACAGAGCAAGATTCTGTCTCAAAAAAGAAAAAAAAAAAAAAGACAAGAAGTGGCCTCCAAGAAACTGAGCTCAAGATATTGGTCAGGGAAGCAGGGGGTAGAATGGTGGTTGCTTGGAGCTAGCAGGACTGGGGGTATCACTGGAGAAATCAGGAGATATTGGTCAAAGGGGTATACTTTCTGTTGTAAGATTAATACATTCTAGAGAGCTAGTGCACAGCACCATGACTATAGTCAGTAGTACTGTATTGTACACTTGAAATTGCTAAGAGAGTAGATCTGAAGTGTTCTTACCACACACACAGAAGGTGATTTTGTGAGGTGAGGGTTGCATTCATTTCATTGTGGTAATCATTTCACAATGTATATGTATAGCAGATCATGACATTGTATGCCTTAAATATATGCAGTTTTTGTCAATTATACCTTAATACAGCTGGGGATATGTTGAATACATTTATGAAGACACCCAGAAGAAATGTCTCTGGTGTGACTAGCAGCAGTAACTGCGAGTCTGTGAATCATGGAAAGTGATCATGGGTCTCTGCTGCCTGCTAAGTAGCTTACAAGTCAAGTTTATATCCCAGTTCTAACCAACTTACAGGCTTTCACAGCATGTACTTTTGTGTCCTGAGGGTTTTATCTTTTCTACTCTCATTTCTCTTTGCCCCAGTTTCATCATTTATAAACTGCCTTAAATCTTTTGGGAAACAACAAGGGGTATGTTTCAATCAATCAACAATTTGTAGCCATTCTTTAAGGTCCACCTCCACGAAACTTGGCTTCAGTCTTCTTGCCCAGTAATTTCTCCTCTCCAGTTCCTTGTGTAGCGTTTATTGTCTACTACTCAGTGGCTGAATCATGTTATTTCATGTAATTCTCTTACCATTATGTGTTCATAATGGTAACACATGCATAAGCTTTTATGTTAATTTTGTGGCTGTTACATACATTCATTTGTGTTCTTTTAATGTGTTATTTTGCTTGTACCACAGTCTAGCACAGGGTCCATCATGCTCATCAGCACACTTTCCAGATGAAAGTGAATATTATGAACACATACACTCTTGAACACAAACATAAGAAATCTCTGCTGACAAAACCTGAGCCCAAGCTACTGCTGAAATCCCTACTTTTCCCCCCTCAGCCACTCTGCCCTTACCTGATTCATCCTCTACATTGCGAATGATTTTTTTTAAAATAAAACTCATCTGATCTCTCCCCTTTATTTCTCCGGTAGTCAGAATCTTTACTGACTCCGTGTGATTCTCTCCTTCCTCCGTCTCTAGTCTTCTCTCAAGCCACATTCCCTCCTTAATTTGATCATCAGCCCAGAGGTTTCAAACTTTCATGATTCAAAAATCATTAAGAGGCAATAGAAATGTATTCACATACTTTACAAATGACTTAAGAGTATGTAGCAGCACTATTCATATTTGCTTAAATCGGAAGATGACCCAGATGACCACCATCAAATGTAGGGTGGATGAATGAATTGTGGTACTCATGCAGTGAAAATGTAATTTTCATTTTCATACCATGACTATGGCTCACGCCTGTAATCCTAGCACTTTGGGAGGCCGAGTGGTGTGGATTGCTGGAGCTCAGGAATTTGAGACCAGCCTGGGCAACGTGGCGAAGCCCTGTCTCTAGTAAAAACACAAAAAATTAGCTGGGCGTGGTGGTACACACATATAATCTCAGCTACTCGGGAAGCTGAGGAGAATCGCTTGAACCCCGGAGGCAGAGGTTGCAGTGAGCCAAGATCGTGCCATTGCACTCCAGCCTGGGTGACAGAGCGAGACTCTGTCTCAAAAAACAAAAAAATTACCTGCCAGTAAGAAGGAGCAAAATATAATATGTGCAACAATGTAATGTGATCTGTGTAATAATGTGATTTCCCTTAGGACGTGGCTGATGAAGAAATTGCTGCCTTCCCCCGGGATAGCTGTCCTGTTAGAATCAGAAATCGATGTGTTATGACGTCCCGCCCGCGTGGTGTGAAGCGGCGCTGGAGGCTTAGTCGTATCGTCTTCCGTCACTTAGCAGACCACGGCCAACTTTCTGGGGTCCAGAGAGCGATGTGGTAATTAGCTCCAGAACCTACTGAGCTTGCAGGGAAGCTGGTTCCAGCAAGAAAAGACGTATTTAATAGACCCAACCCTAATCTTTACATGGGCCCAGTATAGTTGTTTAGTCTACCTGATGCTATCTATAAACTACTTTTAAAATGAAGAAATTTGGGTGTGTCATGTCAGTGAATTATCTCTTCTCTTGGACTTAATAAACATACTGTTCCCATACATGGTGCAAAGAGTAGTATAATAAATATTTTCTGTGAATGCTTTTATATCCTCCTTTTAAGTTTAATCTTTTAGTAACACATAAGGAGCTTTGTGGGCTTTTTGTTTTGTTTTTGAGACAGAGTCTTGCTCTGTCGCCCAGGCTGGAGTGCAGTGGCATATCTTGGCTCACTGCAACCTCCATCTCCCAGGTTCAAGCAGTTCTCCG